TTTAGAGGTTTAGAGGTTTAGAGGTTAGGGTTTAGGGTTTAGGGTTTAGGGTTTAGGGTTTAGGGTTTAGGGTTTAGGGTTTAGGGTTTAGGGTTTAGGGGTCCCAAGCCCTGACACACTGAAGCCTGGAAGCAATGCCGTCCCAAAACCGCTGAACCTCACTCACAGCGCATACCCCACGTGGCAACCCCCCGGGCCTGCAAATTTGGTCAAGACAATTTGGGGCGGATCTCACCCGAAAACAACAACACCCTACAAAACCCTGAAAGCCCTAAAAGCCAAAGGTTGATACCAAGCTACATCCTTAAACCCTAAACCCTTAACCCTAGACCCTAAACCCTAAAAACAAAACCCTACTAAACATCCCTAAACATACCTAAACTGGCCTAACCCTAAGGCCTAAACCCACGCGCCCAGGATGCACCTCACGGCGCAGTCTGCCAGCTCTTCTCGTCCATAGAAGTAACGGAGGTCCAGGTCCTAGGTTTTTCGGGTTTTGGGGCTTAGGGGTTTAGGGTTTAGGGTTGTAGGGTTTTAGGGTTCAGGGGTTTAGGGTTGTAGGGTTTTAGGATTTATTTTTCATGGTTTAGGATTTAGGGTTTAGGGCTTAGGGTTAGGGTCAAGTTTGTAGGGGCTTAGGGTTTTAGGGTTTTAGGGCTTAGGGTTTAGGGTCTAGGGTTTTAGGGTTTTAGGGTTTAGGGTTTTAGGGTTTAGGGTTTTAGGGTTTAGGGTTTTGGGGTTGTAGGGTTTTAGGGTTGTAGCTGGGGGGTTGAAGGGTCGAGGGCTTCGGGTTTGAAGGGTTGACGGTTCAGGGCTTTGGGCTTGAAAGGTGAGGGATTGAAGGACATCTACAGGACGTTGGCTTTTGGGTTGTAGGGTTTAGAGCTTGAAGAGCTTGAAGGGCTTGAAGAGCTTGAAGGGCTTGAAGGGCTTGGAGGGTTTAGGGTTTGGGGTTTAGGGTTTAGGGTTTCGCGTTGGAAAGGTTTAAGGTTTCCCCCGGCCGAGCACCCGGCTGCAGGGACAGAGAAGGTCGGCGCCTCATTCGGGAGGCTTGGGGCTCAAGAGCGAGGTGTGGGGTTTAGGGTTCAGGGTTTGGGGCTGAGGGTTTAAGATTTGGGATTTAGGAGGGTTTGGGGTTTAGGGTTTGGGAGGTTTGGGGCTTGTAGGGCTTGGAACTGCTGAGGGTCAAGGACTGGGATTGTTGAGGGCTGATCTTTGACAGGTTGTGCGGAACCAGGTTCAGGGTTTAGGGCCCTCTGCTGGCTGCGGGATTGAGGGTTTGATGGCTCCGCAAGCCCTCATGTCCCTGACATACGCCACAACAGGAATCCGAGTTGTGCAGCTTGAAGCCCAACCCTAAACCCTAAGCCCGAAACCCGAAACCCTGAACCCTGAACCCTAAACCCTAAACCCTTTATGATTTTGGGGCAGGTTCTGGGCTTAGACCACAGGGTCTTGGGTGGATGTGACTAGCTTTCCCCTTGTCTGGAAACCCTAAACCCTACACCCTAAACCCTAAACTCTCCTACTCTCCTCGCCCAAAACCCCCCAACCTCATGACCCAAAGCCTAAAACCCAACACCCGCCCCCCCCCTGGGATCCGTAAAGCCCTAAACCCTAAAACCTAAACCCTAAACCCTACACCCCCAAGTGGAGCACCTCCTCCTTCGCTTCGCCCTCGCCGCCGCCGTCGGCCATCGCGGCGGCGCTAGAAATCCGAACTTTCGCGAGGTTGCGTTACAGAGCCCATAAGACTCTTCATAAAGAAACAAAGGCTCCGGTTTCCAAGGCACCGAAATGCAAAATGAGGCAAAGCTGGGCTCTCCTGGTTGCGATCCGGGGGCGATGTGTTCGTCAAGTGTCTGGTCATGGGGGTGAAGTCTTCAAGGTTAACACCAAGGGACTGCCACAGTTGCCCAACACTCATGCCTAGAGGTGGGGTGCTTAGGGTTTTGGGGTTTCATTGCTGCTTGAAGCTGCCTTCACCGCCAGCTGCCAGACAACGGGCAACAACCCGCAAGCACTGAGGAATGCAGGGCCAGATCGTCAGCCATAAGCGGGTTTAGGGTTTAGGGTTTAGGGATTAGGGTTTAGGGTTTAGGGTTTAGGGTTTAGGGTTTAGGGTTTAGGGTTTAGGGTTTAGGGTTTTTGGGGCACGGGTTGCTTTTTAGGTCTCGCATCATCCCTCTTCACTGAACAGCGTGCCAAAAATATCTACGCCATGCCAACCCGAGGCTGGCCGATTGCCTCTGCCACCAGATGAAAGATAGGGTTTAGGGTTTAGGGTTTAGGGTTTAGGGTTTAGGGTTTAGGGTTTAGGGTTTAGGGTTTAGGGTTTAGGGTTTAGGGTTGAGGGTTGAGGGTTGAGGGTTGAGGGTTGAGGGTTGAGGGTTGAGGGTTGAGGGTTGAGGGTTGAGGGTTGAGGGTTGAGGGTTTGAGGGTTGAGGGTTGAGGGTTGAGGGTTGAGGGTTGAGGGTTGAGGGTTTAGGGTTTAGGGTTTAGGGTTTGGGGTTAATGGCAGGCATCTGTCAGCCAAAAATTTCCAAAACCCTGCCAGCCGGCCTGCGGCTGAGCATGCTCTTGTGGCCTTCACCCATCTACACCGGCTTTTCACTGACGGGCCCGCTTAGGGACCGGTAGGATCTCACTTTCATCATCAGACTCCAACTCATCTAACTGCAGGGCCTCCTGAGTCTTGCCCACCAGCAAGGCCTCCCGAAGTGGGTACGTTGTAGTGGAACGGTCGGTTCCCACAACCCACCCCTCTGGACCAGACACAGTAATGCTCATGCCATCCGTCTTGGTGCTGAGCTTCTTTTTCCATTCGCCCTTGTGGAGCTCCCCCAAAGCGAGCACATGAACCTCAAATGCGGCAATCGGAAGCTGTCTAGCAGAGCTACTTCAATATTAGGAAGTGAACTAGGGTCCCTGCACGCCAAAACCCCGATAAACATCTATACAGTCTCTAAACCTCAGACCCTAAACCTACAAACCCAAAAAAGACTCCCACTCTCTCCACTCGAAGTTTCCCGGCCTTGACCACCCTGGTCCTGCCGAACATCTCCAACAGCCGGAAGACTGCGAGGCGTCTGTGGTCCACGGAATAGATCCTCGGTTTTTTTTATTTTTATAAGGGTGCCCTCCCCCCCCCCCCCCCCCCCAAAAAAAAAAAGGAATGAGGGCACCACTAGGCATCCAAGGATCTTTCCACCGGAAGCATCATCTTCCACCACCCGTATCATGGGGATGTCCTTCTTGTATATTTCACCTGTGGGCCATCCAGCTATCGGATTTCGGGATTTCGGGGTTCTCGAGGTTGGCTGCAGGGGTTGGGCCTTTGGCTTCTCTGCGGGTTTACTAGGGTTTGCAGAGCTGCATTCCGGAGTCTTTTCTGCCCTGCGCCCTAAACCCTAAACCCTAAACCCTAAACCCTAAACCCTAAACCCTAAACCCTAAACCTGCTTCAATCTTGGGAATCTTGGGCGAGGCTTCCACCTCTGAATGCAACTTGGAACGGCCCTCATAAGCTTTGCTGAGTATCCTGCCTGAACAAATTCGCCCGGCAGTGTCTCCGATATGTACACTTCCATGCCCGTGACGGTCACTGAATGTAGGGCTGCATTTTTGCTGTGTGAAGCGCACTTCACTGGGGCGGAGGAACATGAAGAGATCCTGCGAGTCACCTTTGCCGGGGAACGCGAAGCACATCTTCTTGAGGCTCTGCCTTGCGTGGGCTCTGAGAACAGCCCGCTCTGCTTCCCGCAGGCCTAGGTACGATGGTTCCATGGCGAGCTGGCGTGCCAAGGCAGAATTGTTCAAACCTCGAGCCAGCAATGTTAGGACTCGGCCAAACGACATGTGAAATCCTTGGCCAGCAGGCATTTCCTCAGCAGCTGTCAAACATGCCAGCTCGAGATGAATGGACTTCACCCATCCCAGACGCTTCGCATCTTGTATTCGGCCCTCCTTCTCCACCTTTGCTTCTTCTTGCTTCTTCCAATGCTTCGTCAGCAGAATGAGCTCCTTCACGTGGTGGCCTTGCTTTGATAGCCTCTCATACGCCTCAATCAGCCGGGCATCATTCTTGAGGCCGAAGTAAGCACGGAAAGCTAAGGTGTAATCACTCCACTTCCCCGAATCGGCATCGAAGTCCTGGCTCTCAAGTTGCTCCTTGCTGCCTGCATTCGCGCTAGAGGTGAAGACAAGATCCACTGGAGCTTTGGTAGGCCCGGTGGTCAGCCTCAACTTCAGAATGTGCTCTCCTTCAGAGAGGAAGGCGAAACCTTGTGACGTCAACCTTTGCTTGGCCTCTTGCTTGAGGAGACGCAGGGATGGCCAGTCTTGGCTTTGGAGCTCCACGCGCACGTCGATGTCAAAATCGCCACTTATGGCTGTCCCTCTCTGCAGCGATCCGGTCAGATCGACTCGGACTGGGCGGATGTGGCAGCAGCTTGCTAACAGTGTCCTGCATGGGAAGAACGGTTTTAAAGTGACCCCTACATGATCAGGACGGTGCAAGATCTGCAGCACAAGCCAAGGACTTCGACGCAGCCAACTGAATGCCTGAAGGATCAACTCACTCGATCAACTACGAAAACTGCTAAGGTCCTGATGAGTTTGACTGCCTCTTCTGCGGCAGATTGCTCGATCTTGGTAAGGGTGAGGTTCTTCTGAACGTCTTCCAACGACATCGAGGTTGCCTCCATCCTGGCGGTATGCCTGCACAGGATTGCATAGGTGGGCAGGTTGTGAGAACATAACCAGAACGACATATAATTGGGACGTCGAAGCCGCAAATAAGACATCACACGCGCATCCATTCCTACATGGGAGTTTTTTCCAATGTACATGCCCCCACTGGGATCCTTTTCTATGCCCCCGTGCAGTTATGGTACCACAGAGCCAGCCGCCCAAGAAACCAAAAATCTTGACCCGATTCAGGTGCCCTAAACCCTAAACCCTAAACCCCTAAACCCTAAACCCTAAACCCCTAAACCCTAAACCCTAAACCCTAAACCCTAAACCCTAAACCCTAAACCCTAAACCCTAAACCCTAAACCCTAAACCCTGAACCCTAAACCCTGAACCCTGAACCCTAAACCCTAAACCCTAAACCCTAAACCCTAAACCCTCAACCCCAACCCCTAAAGCCCTAAGAGAACCCTGAGCCCATGGCCCCCCAATTTTAGAGCCGCAGGGCCTGCAAGCTGGAGCAAGGTCAGAAGTCGTTGCGGCTGCGCCCCAATACGTTTGGGCCGAAACTGCCATGGGGTCATGGGCTTTGGGGTTTTGGGGTTTGGGGTTTGGGGTTTTTAAGGGATCTAGGGGATTTAGGGGGATTTAGGGTTAAGGTTTGGGGCATCTGACATAGGGGAACGATGCTCAGTGGAATGGTTTCGGGCTTTCTGTGGGGGGAGGGCGGGGGAGTTTAGGGTTTAGGGTTTAGGGTTTAGGGTTTCGGGTTTAGGGTTTAGGGCTTTATAGGGTTTAGGGTTTGGGGTTTAGGGTTTAGGGTTGTTTTCGAGAGTTTTGGAGGGTTTTAGAGGGTTTAGGGTTTTGCAGGGTTTAGGGTAATTCGCGTTTTAGGGTTTATAGGGTTTATAGGGTTTACAAGGTTTAGATGTTTCCCTTTTTTCCGGATCCCCGAAAACACTAGTTCAGGAGCCTGCCCTGTGAGAGAGGCACTGCATAAGGGATCCTCGCTTAGAGCGAACCCCACGCGCACGTCCACAGGAGTCTTTGGGGCTTAGGGTTTAGGATGATGCGTTTAGGGTTTAGGGTTTAGGGTTTAGGGTTTAGGGTTTAGGGTTTAGGGTTTAGGGTTTAGGGTCTAGGATGATGCGTTCTCCATCTTTTTGCCGGCGGATTTCTTTTTCCCTCCCCTTCCCCCCCCCCCCTGACCTCCTGCCATGAGCGGCAGGAATAACGTAGCAGACGTAGCACTTGCAGCAGTCACTAAATCCGAGCCTGAATACTAACTAATGACTTTGCTCTACGTGTGTTTGTTTTGTCCTAAACCCTAAACCCTAAACCCGAAACCCTAAACTCTAAACCTTAAACCTTACACCCTAAACCGTAATGTTCAAAAACCGGTGCAGGATGGACTAGTGCGAAGGCCTAAGGGCCTCTTGCTGCCCCCCCTTCCCCTACGTTCTGGGGTGATTCAGAAGGAAGCTGGGCTTCACAGGTGGCACTGCCAGTAGTGCACTTAAGTTTAGGGCTTCGTGGGTTTAGGGACTGGGTTTAGGGTTTAGGGTTTAGGGTTTAGGGTTTAGGGTTTAGGGTTTAGGGTTCAGGGTTCAGGGTTTAGCGTTCAGGGTTTAGGGTTTAGGGTTTCGCGTTTAGCGTTTAGCGTTTAGGGTTTAGGGTTTAGGGTTTAGGGTTTAGGGTTTAGGGTTTAGGGTTTAGGGTTTAGGGTTTAGGGCCTTAGGCCTTAGGCCTTAGGCCTTAGGCCTTAGGCCTTAGGCCTTAGGCCTTAGGCCTTAGGCCTTAGGCCTTAGGCCTTAGGCCTTAGGCCTTAGGCCTTTGGCCTTCGGCCTTCGGCCTTCGGGTTTAGGGTTTGGGGTTTAGTTTTGGGTGTAGGGTTTAGGGTTTAGGGTTTAATTAGGGTTTAGGGGGCGTTTCAGAGGTTGTTAACGGCAGATTGCGATGCTCACCTGTGACTGCTGCACGTGGGAACCGTCGCGGCCATGAAAAAGTGAAACGGAACTGCAGGACGCAACATGTCGGTGACTGGTGTCTGGCAGGTTTGACGCCATCACCTACCCATATCCTGGAGGTTTAGGGTTTACGGTTTACGGTTTAGGGTTCAGGGTTTAGGGTTTAGGGTTTAGGGTTCAGGTTTAGGGTTTAGGGTTTCGGGTTTGCAGCCTGCGGGTAATTCGGTATTTCCCAAAAATGGGGGGGCGGGGGGGGGGGGAGCCCCTTGACACACCCCGACAAACGAGAGCTAGCCTTCTCATAGGAACCCCAAAATAGCTGCCCCCCTATGCAATGCTTGGTAGCCCAGGAACTATCTTTTAACAAGGGTACCCTTTTGGAGATAGTTACTCTATTAGGGCACCTTGAACCAAAGAAAGGGCAAAGGGTACCACAGGGCTACAAAGAATGTATACCCTACACTCTAAACCCTAAACCCTGCACCCTAAACCCTAAACCCTAAACCCTAAACCCTAAACCCTAAACCCTGACCGGGCTTGACATGTCACGCTGCGCTGCGGCCAACTCACCAGTGCTTGCCGCCTTTCCATCCTTTTGAGGCAAGGCAAGACCCAGGAGCCTGAAACCGGGACCGGGTTCAAAGCCTTAAGCCTTAAGCCCTAAACCCTAAACCCTAAACCCTAAACCCTAAACCCTAAACCCTAAACCCCAAACCCTAAACCCTAAACCTTGTGAACCTTATAAACCTTATAAACCTAAACTTTAAATTAAACCTTAAACCCAAAACATTTAGGGCTCGCAGCGGGTTGGAGCCTCAGAACTCTGACGCAGCACTTGCCGACACGAAGCCCGAAACCCTGAACCTGAAGCTCCTGCAGGATTTAGGGTTTAGGGTTTAGGGTTTAGGGTTTCGGGTTTCGGGTTTAGGGTTTAGGGTTTCAGGGTTTCAGGGTTTCAGGGTTTCAGGGTTTCAGGGTTTAGGGTTTAGAGTTTCAAGGTTTGGGGCTTATTGTTTTAGGTTTCGGGTTTCAGGGTTTAGGGTTTTAGGCTTAGGGTTCCAGGGTCTATGGTTTTAGGGGTTTAGGGTCTCGGGTTGGGGGCTTCAGGGTTCAGGGTCAAGGGCTTCAGGGCTTTGCATTTAGGATCTCAAGGTTTAGTGTCTCAGGGTTGAAGGTCAGGGTTACATCCCCCCAATGCCTGAAACCCAAGATGCCTTGACCATGTGTCACAATACCAGCGCCAGCCCTCGCAGCCGAATGGGTTTTGAAACCTTTGTAGAAGGGCTTGCTGTACATGTTTATGGCCATCTAGATACGACGGAACCTACTGCACACCATCAACAGCATCTCTTCTAAACACCCGAAGCTATAAACCCCGACCCCCAGCCCTAAACCCTGAACCCTAAACACCCTAAGTTCCTAAACCCTGAACCCGAAGGCCTCCTTTGAAGCCGCCTTTGCCCCCTGGCGCTGGGTGCCGGGCGTCGAAAACCTAAACCTTTAACCCCTGCAAAAGCCCTGCAGGTTAGGGTTCCGGGTTTAGGGCTTTCAGCTGGACCTACTTGAAGGATCAGGGAGCTTACTGTAGGTTGCAAGTAAGGCTTTAAGAGCCCTAAGTGGGGCCTCTGTGCAAGGCTACGGAGTTCCCGAAACCTTAACAGTCCCAACCCTGAAAGCCCGAAGAAATCTCAGTTCCCTGTCGGAAACCCAAAACCTTGAACCCTTGCAGGTCATGGGGTTTCGGGCTTAGGGCCTAGCAGGTTGCACCCGCCCCAAGTGTAGGTCCTTGCAGCACACCCGAACAGCCCGAAAGCCTAAGCCCTACAAGCCTAACAACCCTGACAGCCCCAACAACCTCAACAACCCCAACAACGCTAACAACCCTAAACCCTAAACCCTAAACCCTAAACCCTAAACCCTAAACCCTAAACCCCAACAGCCCTAACAGCCCCAAACCCAAAAAACAAGACAGCATGTGCTTAGGAAAACCCTCCGTCGTGTACTTCCCACCCTACTTCTAACCGACTTACTAGAATCCCTGAGCCTTTAACCCTAAACCCTAAACCCTAAACCCTAAACCCTAAACCCTAAACCCTAAACCCTAAACCCTAAACCCTAAACCCTAAACCCCTCTTCACACGAAGCCCCAAGCGGTTCAAGGAAGCCTAAACACCACAAGCCCCAACCCCTAGAAGCCCGAAACCCGAAAAGCCCGAAAGCAGGGTTTAGGGTTTAGGGTTTAGGGTTTAGGGTTTGGGGTTTAGGGTTTGGGGTTTAGGGTTTAGGGTTTAGGGTATGGGGTTTGGGGTTTGGGGTTTAGGGCTTAGGGTGTAGGTTAGGGTTTATAAGCTTCGGCTGTAGGCCTTGTAAGCCCCAAAACCCAGCGTCGGGTGTGCCTCCTTTCATGCCCTTGCCTGCAGGGTTTAGGGTTTAGGGATTAGGGTTTAGGGTTTAGGGTTGAGGGTTTAGAGTTTAGGGTTTAGGGTTCAGGGTTTCGGGTTTAGGGTTTAGGGTTTGGAGCAAACATGGTTTTGAGGCTGTGGTGTCTGGGGGATGAGGGGTTCATCCGGGCTTCGGGGGCCTTCGCCTCGTTGTGGAGGCCGACAGGGCATCCGGACTCAGGATGTCATTCATACGGTTGATACTATAAACCCTGCATGACTCTACTATACTATACTACCAAAATTCCTAGGGTTTAGGGTACTTAGGGTCATGCAGGATTTACAGTATCAACCGTAAGACTTGGGAACGCCCTAAACCTTTAAACCTCTGAGCGCTGCCCCGAAACCAAAAAACCCGTAAACCCTAAAGACCTTCAGTTCCCGGACCTGAACCCTAAACCCTAAACCCTAAACCCTAAACCCTAAACCCTAAACCCTAAACCCTAAACCCTAAACCCTAAACCCTAAACCCTAAACCCTAAACCCTAAACCCTAAACCCTAAACCCTAACCGAAGCCAGGACAACAATCCTAGACCCCCCAAATCCTGAGCTAAACCCCGTATGAATTGGAAACGCAAAGCTTAACCCCACCCTTCAGGGTTTAG